GAAAGCAGACTAGAAAAGAATTGAAATCAGAGCAAAAAAAGGAATATATTTGAGTTTTTTCTTTAAAACTAGAACATAATCCTGTCTTCAACTGGAGTCTCACCATACTGCTGCCAGTGCATACATTTTCCTCAGCAAGACAACTTGTATCCCAAATAGGTGGAATGAATTATGTATATCAGCTTTTAGCTATGCTGTATTAGGGACTTTTGTCTTTGTGCTTTAGACCAAAGTAATGAAAAGTTAAATATTAATATGTCCTCAGAACTTTTCTCAAATATTTGTAATACGAGACAGTTAATTTAAGAGGCAAGTTTAAGAGTTAAAGTTTTTACATTTGGGTTTTGTTATTGTGCAAGTAATTAGAATAGTCCAAGCAATGTAAATTAAACATTACCAAGTAAGAAAACAGTTGCTAGATGGCAGTTGGGGAACTTTGGTTCTACAGAAGTCTTAGAAATGGGAGCCTCTGACATCCTAAGGATTGTAGGATGGTAGTGATATGGGTGGCTGCTGAATGCATGCACCCAGCGTTTGAAGTGTCACTGTGTCTGTAAGTCCAGTGGAAGAAGTGACAATTATTTTATGTGTCTCTTCCAGTAGAGTCTCCTCTGTGACTTGATCCTGCACAGGCTTGTGAGAAGTGGTTTCTTTTGCCCTTCTGACACTTTGTGAGAAGGTAACCTTTATGGTTTTAGGTTTCCAAGAGTCTTGGTTCCCATGATTTTTTTCCCCCCTTTCCCTTCTGTCTAGATAGTTGCAGTGTTCACACACCTTTTCAGACCAGAAAAGTCTCACAAGAGAAGTGCCACCATGTCTCCTCTCTCATTTTCTTTGTAGCTGATGATAGAGGCAGAAATTCCACTGATGTAGCTGCTTTTTATTTTTAGTATTTTCTCCTGTCATTGTTTATCCTGTGGGAATACCAGAGGTCTCCCATTCTGGGACAGGGTCTTTGTAGTTTATAAATGCACTATAAATGCCTTCTGCCAAGCAGAGGTGACAAGTTAAGCATGGTTCACATGTTTCCATGTGAATGATCTTCAGTCTCTAAAGTGTCACACAAAATAATGAAGGCTTTTCTACTATACCTGCCTGCCTGCACATTTCCCTTCCCCACCTGTGCCCATTATTTTAGGCACTGCTGTCTTGCATTTTTGGCTAGATGCAACCTGGAGGTGGCATCCCCTCTCATAAATGCCAAGATCTAATAGGTGCCTTGCTGTGTGCATTTACTCTGTCACTTGTAACCCTGCCTCTGCCATCACGGGTTTAGCCCCTGGGGGCCCTGGGGAGGAGATGCTTGTAAGCACATTGCTTCTTGGACCATGCAGGACATTCAAAGGCTACCTCTCCTGGATGATGGCCTGTGAGCTTTCAGTATTCTCCCAATCCATACCTTTCCAAAGGATGCTTTTAATTTGAGGGATCTACATTTTAATTTGTAGTCATCTGATAAATTAAGGCTGTGGCAAAACCTCTGGACTTTTTTCTGCACAGATACTAGAAGAATGTTTGACTGAGGAATGCTGTGTTCTCTTGGTTCTAGTGGGTCTAAACAGAGCTTTCTGGAAGTTGTGCATGAAAACTTCTGTCCTGAGATAATTTAAGGCCTGCACATGTAGTTTCCTTCTCTCTATGGGTATATACACAGATGATTATTATGTTGATAAGCTTTCAATTCGATGGGGCTGTTTATCTTCCTCTCTGTTGAGAAACTGAGATTTGGTGCCTGGATAACGTGCTCTCCAGACTTGCCATTAAAACAATGACCCGTGATTCCAAAGATTTTAACAAGATGGGTCAAGATTGCATTCCTGGAGATGGAGGAAAGGTCTTGTTCTTACAGCTCTTATATTTAAGTATCAAACTAACAATTTATTCAGTTGCCTATAGTCCTGGCTATATGTTGGGGGTTGCTGATTTTGCTGCAGTTGCAGTATTAACACTGCTTTTTAATCATTAAAGGCATTGAATGCTGCTGTCAGCTGCTTCGCACACTTAGTGTGCATGAACATGATCCTTTAATCAGTTCTTGGATCCATGCATATGCAATACTTATCATTAGTTTATAATTAACTGTAATTATGTATGGAGATCAGCCCAAGCCATAAAATGTAAATTTAGATATTTACTATGCTAATAAGAAGATTTGGTGAAGATAAAGGGCTTGATTTTTAAATTTTCACTACCACAATAGTGTGACGGAGTCTTAGTGAAAGCGTTAGAATTAGTATAGCTGCAGTTAACATCCATATAATGGTTTTCTTAGCACAGACTGCTATCGATGAGATTCAGGCCCAAAAGGTCTTGTCATTCACATAATGAAACACTGCCTCAGAGGATCTGTGACAATACAAAACAGGTTGCAGGAGCCCTGAGAGGTGAGTTTGTCCACAGGCACGCCAACAAGTGTTTTGAACTATATATAAACCTTCCTGATAGTTATTCACCTAAGGACAGTTTTGCAAAAAAGTGCAAGTGGGATTTCTACTGAGAAAGGGAGAGTATTCCCCTTTATTTTGATGCTACAGTTAAATTCCAGGCACAAGTGTTTTCCCGGTGTGCACAGAGGCGCCGTGTACAGCTGCATCAGGGCATGCTCTTCCTGACACCGATAAACAGGGAACCAAAGGCTGTGTTGAGCTCCTGTGTTGCTATGCTAACTCTGCAATCTTCTACTAAAGGCTTTATTGGAAAACTAAACCAATTAAGTAATACTGGGAATGATAAAAAAGATTTAATGGCTTCTGTGACTAAGGTTCTGCCTTAGCATTTAGCTTTTGCTGGGGAGACAGTTGCTTTTTTGTTTGTTTGTTTACATCTGGGAATCAAATCTTGCACGTTGTGCAAATAATTTAATCTTTATGGCTGTTACTGCTGCATATGAAGTGTTGCTGTGTTGATACCTGCTGGCTAAGTGAAGCAGGAAGGGATACATTTATGCATGTTACTGTTCACTGTATTTAATGGAAATGAAAAGTGAAGTAATAAATTTTGGAACACACCACTTTAGAATTCTTCTTCTTCTTCATTTTGGAACAAAGCATCAGTGTTTCAGGATCCTGGTTAATCACAGTCTAATAACCTCGATACACTGAAACGTTCCCCTTTCCCTTTCCCCCTGCTCTGGTGTTTTAAATGGAAATGATGTAGTTTGCCATTGACTGGAAGGCTCCATTTTGGAAAGGTTTTTTGTAATTGTGAGGGGGTTACAAAATGATTTTCAAAGCATCCCTGGACACAATTCCTGGTACAAGGGTGTGGAGGGGCATGACAGAAGGGAACAGGATGGACAGGAGCTCTGTAGTTAGAATGACTGCTCATTGTCTCACACCCTCACTTTAGTGTTTTCTTCCTAAAACCACTTCCAGACCCTGGAAGCTGATGCTGCTCATGCAAAATCTTTTTAAAGTTTGTTTTAAACACTTTCTAAGTTAACTTTTAAAAAGGGACATTAGCACAAAATTGAAGGAATCACAATACTTGGCTGTGTGACTAAAAATGCTTGGAAGTTAATCAGATATTTAAACATGCAAATTAAAATCCGAGCTTCTAATAGCATTACTTTCCTAATTGTGAAGAAAATCAAAACACTTAGCCAGTTTGTTGACTAAGTATATATGTCCGATTCCTGCCCCAAGACCCACGGAATCTCTCTTTGCTCAGGGGAAAAGTGACAAAATCATGTTATTAGATATTTACCTTCAACTGAAAAATAGATTTGAAGTGAGTGAAGGAATCTATTGTGTTTCTAGACTGGAACTCTGTACAGTTTTCTGTGGCTCATACTACCTGATGTATCAGTTAGGACTGTGTATTAGCCCTCTGCATTAAAACATTACTTGACTGTATTCTCTGACTCTTGGCTTGAAGCCTGCAATATCATGTCTGCAAGTGTTGCAGCTCAGAACTGTTGCTATAGGACACTTCAGTAGTTTCTGGTTACAAAACGTGGCAAGCGGTGGTAAAAGCATGCCTGACTCTGTGTAATGCCTTTGGATTCCCAGCAGGAACATCTCTTGGTTGTGTGTTAATTAAACCTTGAGAAGACAAATCTGCCCTTGCTGTGGTGCCCGATACAGGCATCTGATTGCCTGATGCTCCTTTCGTAGCTAGCAGAGCAAGCTGGGGCAGAGGAGTGTTTGCAGAGGATGATGTGGGCCACATGAGATTAGACAGACAGGCAAGCTCTTGTTTTTCTCATGACTATAGAGGGAGATCAGAGCTGAATGGCTTCTTATGTAGACTTTCATGGTCACAAAGATCTAACTTGAAACTGATGATCTCTGTGCCTGCTGGGGCTCAGATCAAGGTCTCTTCTAGAAACACTATCATCCAAAATGCTCCTCAGTCAGGCTTTTGACAAAGCCTTTGGTTTGAAAACCTGCTGGGCTCCAACTGGGATAACATAACATATGTTGGTTATCAGATCAGTCAAATACTCAGTTGCAATATATGTAACAAAATAGAGTTTGGAGCAAGAAGTGCTGCAGTGATTGACTGTACGTGCGTCGTGTACTGCTGAGTGTCTGTTCTAGGAGAAACTGAAGAAAGAGTTAGGCCAAAAGCTTTAAAATCAGATGTTTTAATGCTAGGTTTGTGTACTTCTTTATTTAGGCTGAGAGAGTCTCAGATGTTGCCTTTCATAGATGCTGATTATAGGAATACATCTGACTCCTCCCGGATGATCTGAGAAGCAGGTAGCTGGTACTGCTGAAAATTGTGTTGCTTTGGTCCCTACAATTTTTGTGTGCTCTAGCTGGAAGTTTTTGGATAACAGCTTTTATAAGAGGGGAACCAGAGAGTTTTTTTCTTTTTCCAGTAGCTTCCACAATAGATAAAGGATTTACCTCTTGGACAATTTATATGGAAAATAAAATTAGGATTTAAGACACAACATTGTCTAGAGGCCCCCAATCTGTTAGAAAATCTCTTCTTGATTTCATATTGCAATAGGTTACTGCTAACCAATGTTGCTAACCTGCTTTAATTTCAATTTCCCCTTGCAGTAATGCGTAGAAATCCATTTGGGATGGACATTTGCTGCCGGAAGGGATCCAGAAGCCCACTCCAGGAACTGTATAATCCCACCCAGGTGAGTGTCTCATGGCTATGACCAAGTTTCCCAGCCCAGCGTACAAATGCCGGCTCTCTTGAAGGTATCGTGGTCTATTTTTTCTCATTATATGCAGCAACTGTCTTTATCTTGGAGACCTGGTCCTTGAACCTGTAGAGTTTTAGCCATAAAGTTCTACAGTTTGAGCTAGGGGCCTGATTTTTAAAGGGTTTTGGTCATCAGATGATGTGGACCCCTCTAAAATTTTTTCTTAGGTACCTAAAAGCCTTAAAAAGAGTACCTGTAGGATCTCATAGCTAGGAGCTGGGGCATTGTGATTTAATCTGTCAATCAACACACAGAATGGCAGGGTGGGGTGAGAGAATAAAATATGATATACACGAAACAAGGATTGCATTAAGATTGTAAATTATGTTAATAATACATTAGTCTCATTTATATAGCTTTCAGGTAGCCAGCTGCTCTTCCTGTCTTTGATCATTGCTTGTATGGAGTCTGTCGTGGTTTGAGCTCAGAGGGCAAGTGAGCACCATGCAGCTGCCCACTCACCCTTTCCCCTCAGGACTGCGAAGGAGAAATGAAGGCAAAAGCTCAGGAATTGAAATAAAGATAGGGAGGATGACTCACCCATTACAGTCATGGGCAAAAGACAGACTCATTAAGGGAAGAAAAAGAACATAAATTTAATTCAGACACTAACAACAACACTTAACAGACAGAGTAGGACAGTGAGAAGCATTACTACATCTTAAAATCCTTCCCATGGGCCACAGCCGTTTCTGTGCTGCTCCAGTGTGGGTCCTTCCTGCATGTTGCAATCCTCCCAGCACTGAACTACAACAGCAGAGGCTTCTTCCCACAGAGTCCTGGCCTTCTCCAGGCACAGCAGCTGGGGTCCTCCACAGACTGCAGGTGGGTCTCTGCTCCACCGTGGACCTCCATGGGTGGCAGTGGGGAGTGACTGCCCTATCACCACGAGCTGTAAGGGAGTGCTCTGATGCACCCGCCCCCCTCCCTTTTCCTTTCTTCCACTGGCCTCAGTGTTCACATAGGTGTCCTCACAACTCCCCCTCCTCCTCCCAGATTCCCCTTCTTAAAGATGTTACTGCAGAGGCATGGCCACTGGTGCCTTGGCCAGAGGTGGGTCTGACTTGGAGCTGAGGGAGCTTCAAGCAGCTTCTCACCGGGGCCCACCACTGTAGCCCCTTCTCCCACTACCAAAAACCCCTCCACACACACAAACCCAGCACAAGTCTAGGCAAACACAATAGCTCATACTCTTCCTTACACTGTGTGCTATTTAACACCTGATGGTCTTGATGGGAGCTTAGGATAATCTCAGCTAGCGTTCTTGTGACAAGCAGTGCAGGAAAGCTACCTGAAATTTGTGCTCCTGTTCACTCCTCCGGATCAATTTATTCCCTACATGTGGGCTGAATTGGCACATTCAAGAGCAGCATTTCCTGTTGGCAGCTGAGAGGAAGTGCTGCCATTGAGAGAAAATGCCAGCTGACTATTAAACATATTTATTAAAGTTTAACAACCGCCTATTATATATTTATCCATCAATGAATACATTGAGTTTTACTAAATTGGCTATTAAGGAAAGTGACTATCCCAATAAATCTAACTTGTTAGATTTAACAAGGCAGTAAATGTTTTAAATACTATTTGATTATGAAGAGACTCACTATAGTGTGCAAAATTAAGTCTAAGTGATTTAAAGTATTTATATGAAGAATTGACAACAACCCAAAGATATGTGATATCTGTTCTGTAGTGCAGTAAAGCTCCATTTGCTCAATTGCCTGGTTTTTATGAACATAGACTGACTTTCTAATTCAGTTTGAATTCTGTGCATGGCTGGGAACATGAGTTTATCATACTAATATACTGGCCTTTATTGACCATTGTGGGAGTTGGCACTGGGTAAATGGACAATGCATGTAAAAGCCCTGAGGAGGAACAATCCAGTGCTACAAAGGAAAAATGTTAGCATTTGCAGGTTAATTTTAAGACTCTTTACAGATGCTCAAGAGGGGCTGGTAAGGGAAAAGAGACTGGCTAAGTAATTAGTCTCTCTGAAGTCTGCTGTGTGTCAATCAAAACCTCCTTGCCCTTTAACATTGTTAAAGGCCATCCAAGAAAGAAACACCCCCCATCAATTGAAGGGCCATAGTCCCAGAGCCGTTGCAAGCTTGGTCAACTGAAAAGATTTCCTGAGCTTCCTGAAGCAGGGGATGCAGCTGGCAGCTCCTTCACTGCCTCTCCTTCCTTTCTGCATGCCCTGACCAAGCAAACCATTAGCATCCCTTTCCGGGCTCGCCTACAAGCCAGCCAAAAAGTCAGTGTTTGAGGATGCGCCACAGTTCTTGCAGCTGATGTTGAACTAAGCAAATGACTTTTTTTACAAGATGGAAGCGTTTCCATCAGCTGACATCTGTTCTTGTCAAGCTTTTAGTTTTTGTTTCTTTTGTTGTTCTTAGTTGGTGTTTGGTTTGTGGATGGGGGTTTGCATGCTGCACGCAGTCCAAGAGGGAATGGCAATCTCAGGCAAGCAAGTGCGTGCATTTTGGGAAAACCAAGAAAAGGCAGTGAGTAGAGGCTGCCATAGAAGACAACAGACTGGAGATGACCCCTACAATATTTCTTCAAATACATGAGTCATCTTTTTTTATCCATTTTTGCCCAAATAAATGTCTGTCTGTGAGGTGGCAGATTAGAGACTGTCTGTATTTTGGCAGTAGCATTCTTGTCCTTAAGAATTCACCAGTAGCTATGGGGTTGGGGGAGATGGAGATCAGACCTCTATCTTTTCAGTTTCTTGCTGAGAAAATTGTGAACAGCCATTTGTAAAGTCAGGTCAGAAGTTAATATATAATAAATATGGAAGAAGACATTTTTGGCTAATATCTCTTACTGATCTAGGTAATTGAAAGCATTGGTTAGATCTTTAACCTTTGACCATCAGAATCTGTAGGACTCCAGGAGTTGTGAACCCATGTTTTTCTCCTGGATGCCGATGGCTATGTGTGCTGTCACAGAAACTCTTTGGCACTCAGTTCAGCTCTGCCTCAGAGGAATGGAGGAGCTGATGGAGCAGATATTTGTAATTCAAAGGAATCTGTATAATTCAAACAACAGACTAAAGGCACTGAAAGATGTTCTGCAGTTATGGCTTTGGATTACTACAAGCTAGGTGCAGTTGTGATTTTTTAAGGGTAGGAAACTTTAAATATTTAATGTGTCCATGTGCCTACTTTTTACATGATCTAGTATAACAGGAGACCCTGCTTATGCATCACCATCCTCTCCATAGAACACACCGTACATTTCATATGCTTCAGGTCTCCTCGTGTAGGCAGCAGTGTGCACCCATGACTGCTGCAGCTGCTGTTCCTGGGAATGTGTCCAGGACCCCGAGAGAGGTGGGCAAGGGAGGGGGCTGTATGGGGCTCCCTCCTTTGAGGTGTTATTAAGGGCCTGTACATCCTCGCAAGGAGCATGCTCCTGGCTGTTCACTATCAGGGGAGATGAGAGTTGGCCATCAATTGAAATAGCTGCCAGATAGGGACAATACTCTTTTTCAAATTTAAAATGCTGTAGTTTAGCATGAATAAGATTTTTCTACTGTGTGTTCAACATCAGGTTGCACTGCCCTCATAAAAGCAGATGGAGACAGGTTGATTTGCACCAGCTGAGAATTTGACTGTGGGTATTTGCTGTGCTGACATATAACAGCCTCTCGGATTCTGTGCTGTTTTGTTTCCTTCTATGGAGTTGTTTGAGTTGTTTGCAGATGCCATCATTTGTCTCTTGATTCTCTTTTTGGCTTGGTAAATGGTTGTGAAAAGGAAAGGGAAGGGAAGGAAAAAAATAAAACGGAAAAATGAAAACCCAAAACAGAAAGAAAGATTTAGATTGAGTAAATTCAAATGTGGCAATTCTCTGGAGGTGACTGAAAGGGTGGTCTGGTGACTTGTAGGAGCTGAATGTTAGAACTGCAGTCAGATTTTCAGTGGACTGATTGTAATTGGTGTGTATGTTTGGTGAAAAGGGGAGGATAAATGGGTGGAGATAGCTCTGAATTAGGGCTAGAGAAAGTGTCCATGACAAAGCCCATGTGTTTATGTCTTAGCTGAGTGTCTGGCCCTGTGATTATTGCAAAAATAGGAACAATGCTTTTGCTCTTTTGCCTGTTGTAATAGAGCAGAATGTGGGAAGTGCATTTGTCTGTGGACAAAAGATTTCTTCACTACAGCTTTCACTGCAAGATTTTTCATGAGTGCTAATATACTGTGAGGGGAAGAAAAGTCAATATAACTGAACTTATACTGAGTAAGTGGATTTCCAAGCTGTGGTCTCCGCATACATGGCAGGCAGTGTGCTGCATGTCTTTGAGACCCTCTTATCTTTTTTCTTCCTTTCATTTTCAGGTGGAAGTTTAGTAATAAGGTGCAGAGGTACCCGCAGCAAATTTTGAAGGCTGAAATGGGCCATTTCTTTAATGGGTTAATTTAAAAAGCCAATTTGGATCTGTATTAAGAAGAACTATTTTCCTTCACACATAGTTGTAAATGGGAAGAGAAAGAGGATTCAACACACAGAAGTAGCGAAGGAGAAAATCTAGATGTAACTGAACCCAGATGAAGAGCCTTGCAGGAATGCAGCTGGTGTTGTATCTTGGGTGGTTGCTTTTTTCTGTATGTGAAACCCCAGGAATTTAAGAATATGGGTAAAGAAATACTTGCAAGACATATTGTTGGAAGACAGTGTATACAACTGTGTCTTGTAATTTGCATGACTGTGTACAGCCCCACTGCTCCAAAAATAACAGATAATTGTGGGTCATCCCATGAGCTGGAGTCACCAGAAGTTCAGAATTGGGCAACATCATATGGGCAACTTTGAGGCTTGCACACTTTAGTGGTTAACGCTGATCTGTTTGGTGTAATGAATGTGCTACTGAATTACAAGAATTTGCAAACCAACAAAGATCAAATATTAAAGGATGGGAA